TTATAACACTATTACAAGTAAAGTACGCCAATAAGAGTGCTAAACATACTGGAAACCATTTGCATTTATTACTTGGTTTTGTATAGGTTTATAAATCCACTTTACACAACAATTATAAGTAAAATGGATAAGTTTTATAATGGTATTACTTAATATTGTTATAATCACAACACTATTATAAAGGTTTTGATACAAGAATACAATGGTTTAATATGATCCTGCGAAAGTTGCTATAGTCTCAACAAAACTATTTTAATTCTGATAACTTTTTTTCCTTGCCGAAATGCTATTAACTTCTATTATCAAATGGATCTGTATAAATAGAAACGGTTAAAAAGAAGTGTTTCTTACAAACGAAAAGTTCCGAAAACCTATGAGCAAATAATTCAGGTGTCCGGTTTGAACTTTGTGTCTGGCGAAGAAAGTATCGTAGAAACAGGAAATAGTTCCGTACAAAACAATTCTTGTGATAGTTTGAGACAGAACGTTTATATTACAAACTCGGCACAAAATGACGCTTTATCGATAAAAAGCGATTTCAATTCAGACCTTGAATTATCAAGTGAGGAATCTGTATCAGAAGATGAAAGTGATATTTAACGCTATTCTAACTTTAATACTTAGAAAATGGGATGTAGACCCAAGAGCATTATATTGAAATACGTGGTAATATTATTGAACAAGCACAAGCTGCATTCGATCAACCAATAAAATCATTGTTTCTTAATATATCAATGCAATTTTAATTAAACTAACAACAATAAAAAGGAAAACGTCTTTAAAATTTCAAACATAAAATGTAAGCTTGTGAGTGTTGTGTACAGTTCAAATATATCAAATATACCGCTGTTGCACACATTGTGAGTTACCAGTATTATATAAATATTTGAAGAACATTATTTTATTTTTAATAATTCACTGATTGGTTGATTCCGTTAGTAGTTATAATTTCTTCTAAAATATTTACCAAACTTATTAATGGGTCAGAAGTTAAAAAAAATAAACAAAATATTGATACCTGCTTATGAATTATTATTCAAGGTAAATTAAAAAATTTCCCCCTTACATTAGATTCCTACCTTACTTTTACACAATAATTTATTCCCAAGGCCACCTTGAGGTTTTCAAAGCTCGAAAAACGCTTTTAGTCAAAAAGTGATCGACATCCAAAAACACTACCATGCTAAATAAAAAAATTGATACCTAAACAAAAAATTTATAAAATATGAAAAATATTCCGGTTATATTAATATTTGTTGAACCCTGATTCCAAAAAATATGGCCAAGCAACGGTTCTAATGTCTGCCCTTTTAAGACAAAGTAGGGGAAGTACGTACAAAATGACATACTATTTTTTTGACATGTTATTTTTTTGTAACTATTACGATTAGAATCAGTCTCTTAATTTTATTATCATCTTTGGTTATTTGCCTTACAATAATTTAAATAATTCTATCTAATAGGTACTTTATCATGAGATCAACAGAGCATAATCAAAAGAAGTAGAAAAATCCATTTTGTCCATACTATACGGACAAAACGACATAATATTCATGGACATAATGACAGTAATAAAGTTAGGCACATAGTTCACAAACAAATTTTTTAATCTTGCGCGGAACATCAGCTCATGATGCATGGGCCCAGAGACTACACTTCATGCATTTTAACCAGTCTTCGCCAGGCTTAGAACGTGAAAATAAATCGTTACAATAAATGCATGCGCAATCATCGTCGTCATCAACGAATCGAGTATGAAGCTAGTAATCTTCAGTGTCTGATTCCTCATCGAATAAAGTCTTTGTTGCTTGACGCTTCTTCTTTTCATGAGGAATTTTTGGAGCATTTTTTTCTTTAACTTCGTCCATATTAGGAGTAGAAGTTAAGAGTAAATGAGAATTGCGTATCTTTTGTTTTCTCTTTCCTTGACCCTGAATAAATTTTCCTTGTGGTGCTGGAGATAAAACTTCTATAGGAAACGGTATATGATTAATGTCAGCCGTTTCCTGCCGTTTGCTGTTGAAGTTCAAGACCGGATGTTCCTGGGACTGGGCTAAAAGATGAGTGAATTTCTGGGTAACCAGCTGCAGATGAACTGCCAACAGCTAGCAGTTCAGCATCGATTGCATCACCATTTTCCGTATTATCTCGGCTTAATGGAATATTACTTGTTTCAGCCGGTTCATATTGAGATTTCCGTTTATAATTCGCGGCATACCTTTAAATTACTTTAAAATAAAAATAAAACAAACTTCCTATAATATGATATAAACATACGGACAAAATGACATACTATTTCGTTTTGTCCAGAACTCGAATATGTCATTTTGTCCGATGGCATAGAAAAAATAAAATAAAAGTTCACTTTGTTGAAACCACTGTTTTTTTAAATATATTTTACCTTAAATCACAGCCTAATGGTATACTGCATCGATTTAAGTAATAACATTAAAAGAAAATAATGTAAAACTTTCATGAAATGTGTAGAAAATCAGCATAATAAAAAAACTTTTAGACCCACGAAACACGTTTATACCTGTAACTCGTTCGTGACTGAGCCGAGAGTGACAGATTTTTTACAGGTTTGCTACAATGGCCGACGTCACATGATGTGATGTCGGTGGTCGTGTTTCCGCCCGCCAATTTTGAAAAACACATGGTGTGTCATTTTGTCCATATATGTCATTTTGTACGTACTTCCCCTACGCCTAAAATGGTTTGTTAATGTATTTGGAAAAACCATCTGACAAGATGGCGACTTTTCGTTGTATGATCTTACTGAAACCGACATTATTTCGAAATCTAACTTATTAAAAACACTACTACTGAGAGGCGAGTAAAAAATTTAATAGAAAACCTATTATACTTCACCGAAAATATACATGCGCCAGCCATTACTTATTGTTAAATAACACTTTACTTATAAATAATTTTTAAGATATTATTTATAGTTAGAAATGGATGAAAATTTACCATTATCAATATATATATGTACAACAAAATTTGCCAATTCAGAACATTTTGAATGAGCCTATAAGAGATTTTTTACTGTCGTATTTAGTTCCATTAAGTGCTGATAGTTAGCTTCGCAGGAGCAAATAGTTCTACGTAGACTAACTATAGGGTCGTTATTGAACAAAGTGGTGTTCACCAAGTCTGTTAAAGATATTGAATTAGAGCAAATACGCCTGTAAATTGGGCCCTTTTCCGTGGTTATAATTGCTTACTATTCCATTATAGTCCTGATAAAATTGTGGTTCCAGGACGATTACTAGACCACGTTTTGCTGCTTGGGTCCACATCAAGTAAGACAAAGGAGTCACCAATAGCCAACATATTAGTAGAAGATGCAGGAACTATATCTGTTGCTCCATCAGGACTTTCAGTGATGGATTTTCCCACATTGACAAAGAAATTATTTATTACATTTGCTGAGGCTTCAGGTGAATGTGAAAGCGTTAATAATTCTTTAGGAAGTTCTTTATTTTTTGAAATATTTATTACGATTTTGATAGAATCCCAGAGTTTTTTGCTATTGTTGCCCGCGTTTGAGATTAACTGCCTTTCATAATTTCTTTTTAGAGTTTTTAATATTTTATTACAGTGATTTCTACATATATCTAACGTATGTTGTTTTAATGATGTCATTATCAGGGTATTTTTTAGATTTTTTATGCAGATTATCCCTATTTCTTATACATCTAAGCAAACCAGGCGTAACCCAAGGCTTAATAATTTTTTACGCCGTGGTACAGTGCATATTGTAGAGTTTTTATTAATGACAGTTTGTAAACTGTCGACAAAATTAGACATTGCGAGATTGCGAGAAAAGTGACTCATAGTTGATTTTAGCAAATGAAGAAATTGCATTTTTTATTTTTACATTACAAAAACACAATATTACAGTGCTATGGTCTGTTAAAGAAGTACTAGCAACAATAGTGGTGCACTGGCTTTTACTTTTAAGCGTAACGTGGTCCAGGCACGTATTACTACAAAGCTTTTTTTGCCAGTTAATTCTTGTCATCTTGCTCGCGGGAAAAAAGTAAATATTTTGTTACAAGCAACATTTTTTTTACTACCTATAATATAGCTTTAATAAAATATGATTCGTTTATGACGAAAAAGTTAGTCCTTATTTAATAATAAAGACAAGTCAAAAGACAAAACTTTTTTTCCTGTTGTGAGCCTACTGGTAGAAATTTCAATTTGAAATAACCAGTGCCCTTGTTGTTACAATGTCTGTTACATTTGTTCATACGAAATTTTATGTGTGTACGAAATAAATAAATAATAAATTGATGTTGTGTATCTTTTATTTTTTGTTCGATTTTTACATACCTAAACTATTCAAACCTTAACTTGACAAACCCAAAATCAAGAAACTAATGTATTTAATGATAAATATGAACCTTTCGATTTCAATAAGACTTTGTCTTACTAAGATTTTCTTTCAATTAAATTAGCCGCCCTCTTAGATCTGCTGCTGTAGCTAGTCTATAGGTAATTACTCTGAGCCCCGCGTAGGGGGTCATGAATTATAAGCCCTATTCGATTCAATTTCATCTCTATATAAGACCTGTGTTCTAGCAATAGGGACTGATAAGCTGATGATGATGAATGACATAACGCCGCATGCCGGTGTTTATTGCTATCTATGAATGTGGGTATAACATGCTAGTTCTGCAATCTGCGCCGAACTTTACGTAATGTCGTTCTTACTGGTAATCTTCCCTATCTTATAATATTTATAAAAATAATTTTATAAATTTATTATTTATAATTTTATAAAAATAATCATCTATTAATAACAGCGCCATCTGTTCTACGTTGTTAAAAGTACCTACAACTCACAAAGTATGTTGTGTAGAATGCTAGAAACCATAATTTATTAAGACGCGGAAACCGCAGTTTCGTCTTCTATCGGATTCAATTCTATGGATTATCTACATGAAGGATATTTATAACTAGGAATAAGTTTTAAATAAATAAAAATATTTAGTTATGCAACATTTAACAAATTTATTTCTTGGTACGTAATATACAGCATTTTACAAGTAAATTATACCTATTAAAAATATTTTTATCAGCCTCTGTATTTGTGTAAAATATATATATTAACGCGTGAAATTAATTTAATAAACAAAATCAAACCCAAAACGTAATTCTATAGTACATTGTCTATAATTAAATTTTGATTTTAGTGATTTTAAAATGATAAAGGTATTAGGCAGTATACATATTATGTTTATCACATTTTTGACAAGCCAGTAAAGACATCATCAAACATTAATATATCTGCAGTAGCAAAACTATAATTTCTTAATGCAATAGCTTTTTATAACAAATTTGCAATAGTAGATTATTATTTATTACAAATATAATAGATTATTTTTTGTTAGTAATAACAAAGATTAACAATTCACTATGATTTTGGTACTACCGTTTGATGCATATAAATAATATCTTTCAGTTGATTTGGAGCAAATACACCTTTTTCAGTAATAATACCAGATATAAGACTAGCCGGAGTGACGTCGAATGATGGATTCCAGCAGTTTATACCTGTAAAAATGCAAAATATTATTTAAAATATGTAATTTATATTTTAAATAAATTTACTCTTATATTTATGAAGCCCTGCTATACATGTCTATGAACTCATCCATAAAATTAATGTTACAACATTAAACAAAACAAAGTTAATTCATTAAGTACATTAAAAAGGGATGATTAAGAAGGTTACTCCAGAAGACAAAATTTCATCAAAAAGACATCAACTTTTTAAGACTTAAAACTCGATTTGAGTAATTTACCTACTTGATCTGTAAGTAACTAGTAAACTGAACTTTTAATAAATAATTGCATTTTAAACTATGGTAACAAAATGCATTAGGTGCAAATTGGTTTCGACTAAAGGCCTTATATATTGAAAAATAATACCAGGTGCAGCTATCCTGTGTTCACCAATATGTGTCATTTCTCTGTCTGGTCTCTCTTCAATCTTAATTCTTTCTCCAGATTTTAGTGACATGTCAATGGAGCTGAGTGGAGCAGCCACATAGAAAGGAACACCATGGTACTTCGCCACTATTGCTATTTGATATGTTCCTATTTTATTTGCTGTATCACCATTGGCAGCAACCTATTATATAAATACATATTGTTCAATCAATAAATAACATTATTTTATATAAAATATAATTGAAATCCTTAAAGTTGTGCCATGTGATTTGTGGCCTGGATAAAAATAATCTCCAAATTTGTAACCTATGTAGGTAAGCCGGTTAACATTGATAAATGTATTTTACATATTGCCGGTGGAATAGGGAATATCAGCCGCTCAATTGGGCGTCTAGCCCTTTAATTGAATGGCGCCTTTCAATTGCACTAGGCTAACCTCCAATCAGTTGAGTAGCTGAACACAACATTCTACATTACGGCTAAACGAAGGTCAACTAATTAACTGTCAATTCATTAGGGTTAGCGTAATTCCAAATGTCAAACTATTCTTTAAAATGTTAACTCCTTTGAACCATTACTAATCACTTTTGTTATACTGACAATTTATCTTGTCTTCTTTTACAAAAATACAGTATATAAAAATTCAGACATAGACCAACCGTTGACTCTATTGTATATAGTGAAATTAGCGCTGTAAATTTTAGAAACCATAAATTAGTGTTGCCTGTGGCAGACAGTCATAATTAACAAAAGCCAGCTTAAAAAGGAAAACGCCAGTAATAACATAACATATCTTTTGTTTACACAAAAAGTAAAAAATAATTTTAACTCATTCTTTAAGTTTAATAGTATTATTGACTTGACAAGAATGCATTGGATCATATTTCAAGCTTCCTCCATGACTCCAGTATTCTGTACATTCCCTAGGTATTGTATAGAATACCTGATTTATTAAGATTGCTGGTAACATCAGCTATTATGAAATAACATACACGGTCTGCTCCAACAACAACTGCAGTAATGTTTCTTGTGTTCATCAGTGCAGACACCATACTGTCAACAATCAGTGTGGCAGGAATCTTCTCATGTATCAGTTCATAGGCTGTCAAACGTGCACCCTGATTATATGGACGAGTTTCTGTGCAATATACATGTTCTAAAATAAAAAGATTTACTTTAACTCAATAATTTAAGTCTAACAAGAATTATATTCATTTTTAAATCTGCACTTTTTAAAAAACAATTAACATAGTGGGCTGAGTTAAATGGTATAAGTAAGGGCTAATTGTTAGAGAAGTTGAATAGTTTTTTTTTACATTGATTGATAAAGTTATTTGATGAGTAGCATACTTAAATTATGTTTATCTAAAATCAATATTTTGGGAACATTGGTTTGAAAAACTGCAAATCCATCTAAATTGTCAATGTATTGGGACAATTTATTACTTTAATCAAAAACATAAATATTTCTCACCCAGCTTTTTTGATTCATGCAAATATCTGATAACACCTAAAGCTGTTCCATAGCCAGCTGTTGCTAGGGATCCTGTGTTACAGTGAGTTAAAATCCGAACTAGCCCATCTCCTTTTAAACTATTTAATATTGCTTCACAGCCAAACTTGCCAATTGCTTTATTATCTTCTATATCTTTCTTTAACATACCTTCTATGCTAGAGATAAATCTACAACAAGACGATGATTATTAATTATGCTTTTAAATAAATCTTTAAGATTTGACTTATTGAAGACAGACACACACCTGTCTTTAAACTCACTAGGTGAGACATTATCATCTGCACTTAAAGTATTTGCTAAATTTATCAATTCGTCGGCTGCCAATTTTATGTTTACAGCTGTTGGCCTTGCTGATACCAGGTAATTTAGCTTGCCTTCAATCTGTTATAGGATAAAAGCATTCAATGAAGAACAAGTATTTTACTATTTATGTTAGTTTGAACTAATCTTGTTACAGAGCAAAATATTATACCATAATAACTAATAAATATTCTGATTAAAGTATGTACGAAATCAATATTGATAAAAGCACCCACCCATTTTTATTTAATATTAGTAAAACTTGAAAAACATTGCTTATGTTAATATATAACATAAATATAAAAAGGTGCACAAAGATATAAATATATATGTTTTTAAGGTTAAATAGATGAAATAACTGACCTCTTGTCTCATGACCTTTTTATCGTCAATTACTTCCTTGAGTAACTCCACAGCCAGTGATAAGCAGCCAACAATGGCTATCGCAGGGGCCCCTCTTACCTAATAAGCCATATGCGGTAATTAGCGTGACTTAAAAGGTGATTGACATAAGCAGCTATAAATAAGTCACAAAAGAGCGCCAATATTTTATCAGTTTTTTTTAAATAAGAAAATGAAATTGACAAGTTTTAGACCAAAATTACCTGCATTTTATTAATCACTTTCCAACCATCTTCTACGCCTTGTACTTTAACATATCTAGTTTGAAGAGGAAGCAGCAGCTGATCCAAAATCTCTAAAGTACCTCTTTTATATCTTATAGATTCCAGACTCATTTTGTACAGAAAGACACTTCACACTGAAAATTAGTCAGATAGCCTTTAATAAAAGTAATCCTCAGACAAACGAAAAAAAAGATAAGATACCACTACGCTGCTTGAAAGAAGATATATAAACTTACTTTACTATTAAAGAACCTAATTAAATCTAACTTATCAATGTTTTCTATATGTAAAAAATATAATTTATGAGATTTGGCATTTTGATGAAGCATTAAAGTAGGCACGAGAGTTTTTGGAAGATAATGAACAAAATTTTTGTACCACCTTTTCTGGATTGCAAAATTTTTGTATCAAATATGTCTGTCAATTAGAGATTTCGATCTCGACTCGATTCTATCAAATATCGATCTTTTTGACCTAGATCGTCGATTTTTTCAATTGATTTTTGCCCCTCACATTGATCTTAAGATCGCCGCAAAACGAACAGATCGAAAATCGATCTTTGCTATTATTGTCTATAAAGATTTTAACTTCAATTTTTCTCGTTAACTTTATATTACCCCAATAATTTTACATAGGTTTTTGTACAATTATTTCTAAAATCGATCTTAAAGGAGCCTACCGAATTGAATCACAACATCGATTCTTTTGCTGTATGTAGATTTGAAACCCCAATGTTAATGACAGTCAGTCAGCGAGGCAAGAATCACCATAGAACTGATTCTATTGATATACCAATAATAGATACTTGGAGTTTATAATACTTATTACGTATCTCAAACAAATACTGATAAAATGTATGCATTACTTACAAATATCTATTTGTGTCTTTTAAACTAACCGTTAATACCTTTAACCACCTAAGAAAATTAAGCAATGTCTAAAGTTATGATATTCGTTATGGGGTGTCTTCTTTTTCTTCTTAACTTTAATGGCACTTTGCGTCACGCACAAGGTATTTACATATATGTCTAGGGATGTAAGAAAAAAAATATTTCGAATTAAACTACTCTCCTTAGGCTATTTCTAATATTAGGCATTTCCTAGTGAATACCTTGTTCTAGGTTAGTGAAAGTGGGTGTACTCATATACGCAAATGCCTAGCGCAAGGTGCCGCATAACAAATATCATAACTGTAGACATTGCTTAATTTTACCGTAAGCGATTCCTAAATATTTAGTTGAGTCCTAAGTTTAATGAAAATGAGCATAAATGTTATAAGGTTACATCATTGCGCATTTACATCACAAAAAGCATTTCAAATTTCCAATCGAATATGGAAAGTTAGATCAATCATACACTAGAATCTAGTGTGTGATCAATGTAATTTTCCATATCCTATAGACATTAGATAATTATTTTTTTGTTCCATTTATACTATAGACCTTAGATAAACGCATTGCATGTAAGGACATTGAAGAAATACATTTAAACAAAAAATTGCAAAGCAATATCCGTTTGAAATAACATTGCAATTATTTTTTTGTTGACCAATAAACAAAATGTGTTTTTTTTTTTACTATTTTGGGTTTGGTTGAAATTTTAATTGAAATGATTAATACTTATTATCAATACATGCTGGGCCCATTGTTTTCAGTTTCGACTAGTTTAGAGGTTTAGGGTTTAGACTCCTAAACTCGTCTATACTGAATTTAAAGAGTAGTGTCTTCCCAAAACAAAAACTACGTACTTAGCTGTAAAATTATAGTATTCCTGTGGCACTATTACGTTAATAATTTATTTACGTTGGGTTTGATATCAATATCAGTACAGTTTAGAAAAAGGCAGCAATAGCACAAGCCGTCATTAACTGTTCTAATTAAAGAGTAGGTTTGGCACGATAAAATTGTAGGTATGCCGTGTCCAGATACTTTTTAGTCAATGGGTGAGGCTGAGAATGAGGAAGTATTTAAAAAAAAAACATTAGTTCCCGAAATCAAACTAGATGTCGCTACGGTACGATCTTGATTTCTCCAAGACAACCTTTCCGATTTTCTTTCTTGTTTAAAATAAATTAGTTTTCAAAACTCAATAAAAAACTTATATTCTATTTGTACTTTTTCGTATTTGTATTAATATCTAAGTTTCGAACTTTTCAAACTTTTATAATATGTTAGTTAAAAGGAACGGAAATGACTGTCTTTGGTCCATTCGTTTCCTGCAAAAATAAACTTTTATTAGAGTTGCCATCTAGTGGAGATGCTTTTTTAGTGCTTTCGTTTTTTTTTAATACTTCCTCATTGAGGAATGTTATCATATATCGTAACAGGAAGAAATAGCAGCTTTTGTTAAATAAGAGTATGTATCTGTTTTATAAAAATGGTAGATGTTCCAGTTTCACAACATTTTGGACAAGAGATAGCAGATATTATAATTCGATGTCATGCATACCTGTTATTTGCATGCCTGTTTGAATAGTTTAGGTCATAATTTAGATACACACAAACCGTTACGGTCACACATGTCAAAATATGCCAATAGCAGTCTATGAGATGAGGATTGGAGTATATTTATCTCAAATCGTAACAAGAAGAAATAGTAGGTTTTGTTTAATAACTGCATGGAGCCGTTAATGAGGGAGTATTTAAAAAAATCATTAGTTCCCGAAATCAAACTAGATGTCGCTTGTGGTCTTTAAAAAAATATAGATAAAATTATATGAAACACGAAAAGCTAAAAATAGATAAAGATTTATTAATGACCTATTTTTTGAAAGTCCATAGACTTTTTAAATAGTGACTCTTTAGAAGCAATAGGTACTTATAAAATCAAACGAAAACTAAAATGCTTTTCGTAGAAATTAATAAAAAAAACTATCAAGATTTTGCCTTTAAACCTCCAATAACATTACAAACCAGTGTTTTGGTGTACGTATGACATTATACTATTTTAAATGAAAATGTGTAATTTATCGTAGGTTCTAATTTCGCATTTAAGTGAAATTCAAAATTTTGTAACCTAGGATCAATTTGTTATATGGGTATGGACCTCATTGTGTTGTTGACAGAAGAGATCGTAACTATTTATGAATGTAACAAAAGCTTCGTTAACGTTTAAAGGTTGGCTATTACAATCTAATAAAGGTTGGCACTAAACAGCGGATATGATGTATGTAACTTTTTGAGGTTATGTTGCCAGATAAAAGAAAAGGTAGACTGTATGTAATTTTTGTTTAAGGTTGAGCCCATAAAAAAAAGGAAAACAAAATCGCGTTTGTTGTTTTCTATGGAGTTGTTCGAAATTATCGAGGTAAAGACAAATATTACTCTTAAACTTGTAAAGCCAGCCAGCCTAAGTGTGATTCCTTTGATTTATATTTACTATTGTCGTAACGTTTGAATTTTTACTAATGATCGTTTAGTTGGTAGAAGAGGGGACAGGACACTTGACTCCAACGAAAATTAGCTCTTTAAAGCTCAATAACTTTCAAACAATTTACTTAATCGAAAACCCGTCTTCGTTCGTTGGATAGATCTTTCCAGACCTTGAAATGTTCTGGAAAGACTTATCTAACAATGCCCCACACTATGGAGAAAATACAAAAAATGTCATCCCTACTGTACATGTAGAAAAATTTTAGTATTAAAATTTTACATCATTAATTTGCCGGCGTAATTAATGTGTATACTCGTATCAAATTACAACTTTCTAGTACCAATAGTTATAGAGCTAAACCGCGGAAGGATGTATGGGCGGATTGACGGACTAACGGACATGGCAAAACTGATACGGTACCTTGTATACTACGGAACCCTTAAAACAATAGTGTTTTCACGGAAAGCGCTTCACATAATCCAAAGGATTCTGATTTTATGTAAAGATTGCTGTGCAAGTTTCATTAGGTGTTATTATTAATGAGATCTTTTTAAATATTTAAATAGATTGCAGTATAGCTGATGAAATTCAGTATAAAATTATTCGTTATACATACTTTTTATTAGGTATGCGAATGGGTAAATACTGATGACTATATTTGATGACTATATCATCTAGGTAATAACTGTTTATTTATACAACGTGCCTATATTTAAATTTCTAATAGTGTACCTATATTTAATTAGTACTGTCAATGACGTTTGTTTATGTTTATGTCAATTTGTTAATAATACAAAATCTATGCCGGTATGAATAACGATTTGCTCCTGCAAGTAATTCAAACACGTGCCTGTAATGGCGTTTGACTGTAGTAATATTAAGTCGTCGTATAGCAACACTGTTCATTTCCGCCGGGCATCAAGGAGAGACGCATCGTCATTGTGGTAACGCGAAGCGTTTAATTTAGTGGATTCACAAAATAAGCAACATGTCTTTGCCCCGTGTCTACTTGGACGTTAATGCCGATGGATCATCTCTTGGACGAATCGTTGTTGAGGTTTGTTTAGTGCTTCTTATTTAAATTAGCTTAACATGTTGCCGGATCCGGCCGGCGTGATGCTGTCCGACCACGCTATTTCTCGAAACATTCATGACCTAAGCGTTACCAAATGACCTCATGTTAAATTCATTACCGATTCTGATGGTTATTCGATATAATGAAATTAATTAATTACGATTGGCCTCTTCTACACACATATATATATACTATCTAAATATAGGACATGTAGACGTATACTAATTAATTGTCGGCAATCTGAGATTACCTACGCTTATTGAAGGTCATACGCTAGTAGGATAATACATATGTCAATGGAATTCTCCGGTTTTGATCTGACTTAAGTATTTAATGTATACGTGCGATATAATATTGACGTCGATAAAACCACACCTTATTAGTATCCCTACATATATAGTGACTACTATGTACCGATGTCATAGTGTGGTGGTTGAGAGATTATCATACCGCCTGCAGTAACTACGTTTCGAGACTTTGATTTTATAGAGAATAATACAACATTAATGTTAAAAGAGATTGATTGTTGTTCCAAATAGACTTAGATGTCATTTTATTTAAAAATAACTTGAGATATTTTTTGTTTTGTTACAGTTGAGAACAGATGTAACACCTAAGACCTGTGAAAATTTCCGTGCCTTGTGCACCGGAGAGAAAGGTTTCGGTTACAAGGGCTCAACCTTCCACCGTGTCATCCCCAACTTCATGTTGCAAGGGGGTGACTTCACAAACCACAATGGCACTGGTGGCAAGTCCATCTATGGCGAGAAGTTTGCTGATGAGAACTTCGTCCTGAAGCACACTGGGCCTGGCGCTCTTTCCATGGCAAATGCCGGGCCTAACACTAATGGCTCCCAGTTCTTTATTACCACTGTTAAGACTTCCTGGTTGGATGGCAGACATGTTGTCTTCGGAAATGTTGTTGAGGGCATGGATGTGGTTAAAAAAGTAGAAGCTCTGGGATCTCAGTCGGGCAAACCCTCCAAGAAAGTTGTGATCTCCGACTGTGGTCAGCTTTCCTAAATTAATTCTATATTAAAGAGTAATAACAATGTTTAAGTTTAACACTATTTCCTCCTAAGCAATACCTTCCCAGACAAGAAATGTAAAGTTAACCATGGGTCATTCCAATTTTGTTAATAAAATTATGCAATGTTTAGGTCACTTATTAGGAATAGCATTTATTTCTATGCATTATTCTTAATAAATTATATTAATTCATAGATATAGACATTCTAACATTCTAGATGTCTGTGGCTAGCTATTAGGGAGTCTGCTATCAGCTAATTGCCATTTTATGTCACTCTCATTGTATGAATAATAACTTAAATGAGAAATATTTTTGTTTTGTTGTTTTATTTTTGCCATCTGTGCCTATATTAAAAATAAAGTTATGGATTTGTTCTAATCTGACTAGATTTCGTACATATATAAGTTGTAAACTCCAGCAAGTCCTCTGAATTACCTCTTAACATCTGTTGTAAAAAGTATTTGTAAAATTAAAGTATTTCCTCAGGGCGCAATATCTACCTATAATATGTATAATTTCTAGAAGTGCAATTATATATTCAATTTAAAACTAGGTATATCTTTAATCTAATGATCTTTTAATATCATATTAGAAACTCGATATATGAAATTCTTGTGTCACAGGTACAGCTACCATAGTCCTCTGAAATGCGTGGCTGATGAGTGATTTAATTTTATATGTATACTAGTGACTGCCAGCGATTTCGTCCGCGTTTTCCATGATTTCTTCGCTCCTAATAGTTGCAGCGTGATGTTATATAGCCTAAAACCTTCCTCGATACATGGTCTATCCAACACAAAAATAATTTTTCGAACCAGTAGTTCCCGAGATAAGCGCGTTTAAAAAAACAAACAAACTCTTTAGCTTTATAATATTAGTATAGATTTAGTAGGTCTGAGAATAGGTTATCTCAGTTAAGATATTCATTTTTTTCGTCTTTCTCCATAGTGGAGCATCGTGGGATAAGTTTGTCAAAAACATTGCGGGTGTGGGAAACCATTTTTCGGTTTAGTACACTGTTTATGACTTATTAAGTTTTAAAGAGCTCAACTAACTAAACAGTCGTTGGTAAAAAATCAAATTCATAGGCTGTTATACCTATAATAGTCGACCAATTAATTGCATTTTACTCGAAAATTTTGAACCCCACAGAACCTTTCGTGCACGAGTTCGAATCAGTTGGCCGGTCTTTTATTGAATGAGGAAGTATTTAAAAAAATCAAAAAAACCACTAAAAAGCACCTCCACTAGATGGCGACTAGCAAAAGTTGATTTTTGCAGGAAACGAATGGACTTAACTCTGTCATTACCGTTCCTTTTAACAAACATATTAAAAAACTGAAATTTTAAAAATTTCGATACTTTGATATCAATACAAATACAGAAAAGTACAAATAGAATATGAGTTGTTTATTGAGATTTGAAAACTAATTTACTTTAAAACTTGAAAGAAAACCGGAAAGGTTGTCATGGAGAAATCAAGAACGTACCGTAGTGACATCTATTTTGATTTCGAGAACTATTTTTTTTTAAATATTGTACTTCCTCAAATATAGCAGAACACCCGGTTTTGGCCACTGCCCCTTATTGGCTATTTGGTATTTACTTAAAGGCGTTCAAACTAACGCCTATGCGATTAACTAATTAAATAACTACCGTAAAAGGTTTTTAAAATATTGCATTATTGCAAAATTAATACCGTTGACAACTGATGTATCAAAGTTTTTTGGAACTATAAAAATGCCAAAACCAGGTCATAATCTTAAAATGGCCAAAACCGCGTCAACTGTCCTAAATAGTAAATTTTATTATATTTGTATTATGCTATACTAGAAAATTTGTATTATGTTAAACTAGAGTAGTTCGGTGGCGTAGTGGATAAGCGCTGTGGCCCGCGATCTTAGTCGTTAAGCAACTTTCGCTAGGGTCGGTCACGGGATGGGTGACCAAAAAATTATTATCTCTAGTTACTCCGTGCTTTGGAAGGCACGTTAAGCCGTTGGTCCCGGCTGCTTTTGCAGTCGTTAATACCCTCCAATCCGCATTGGGCCAGCGTGGAAGCTCATCCTCCTTAACCATCCATAAGGAAGGCCTGAACCTCTGCAGTGGGGACGTAAAAGGACTGGAGATGATGATACTAGAAAATATTCTTAATGAAAAATCTTTAAACATTCCACTTTGTCCCTGGTACTCTGAAATTGGATTCGAACCCGCGACCTTTCGCATTCCGCTGAGCTATTCAGGACCAACAGATTGTCGAATTCTTCGAGCACTTGTCACTTTTTTCGTTACTGCAGAGCGTTTTTTCATCAATGTTCAGAAAATCCACCAAAACAAAGCAAGATTAAATTTTGTTCTAATTTTTATATTTGATCAATTTGCATTCACAATACTATACTGGAAAATATTCTTAATGAAAAGTGCTTAAAAAATGAGTGGTCTTCATTTGTAGTTTCAAATTAGGGTTGAGAGTGGGGCAAGCGCCACCTCACCGCTTAGTACTTAATCTTCGCATGTACGCCTACATGCGAAGATTAATCGTCTGTTATTTTATAAAGAAAATGGTCATAAAATGGTATAAAGAAAAATCGTTATTTTTTCCAAAAGAATATTGACAGTACATGGACAGGTTATCTGAAACTTAAGACCTCGACCTCTTGCATTGGCGGTTTCAAAATTTCCAACTGTGAGGGTTCGATTCCCGGTTGGGACAACATATGAAATGAACTTTTTTATATTGTCAGGGTCTGGATGTTATAATACAATGCCAGGGCTAAAGAGGCCTATTACAAATACAGATGAAGTCGCTACACGGCCGAACAAACAGCTCGGAGGCCGGTGCATCGGCATTTTGTAATAATTTTGTGATTTGTATTCATGAAATGTAAGTTCCTTATGAAGTTATGATTATTCTGGTACGAATTTTGTTCAATAATGTTAGTAGAATGTCTCTCCTACATTCACAATCAAAGCTGTTTTTGAAGATTTTTGATTTACAATGATATTTTCTCATATTAAAATCAGTGCTATTTTAAATTTTGGAGGCTGCTACGAAAGAGCTAAAGTTCTTTTTTTTTATTTCAGTAATTTAGATCAGCAGCTCAAAAAAGTGCCTTCGTATATTTTATGATAATCTTTCGCTGTGATTTTGTATTTGATTTTAAAGTTAAGATCAATTTACAAAAACCGAAGCCGATACGAACTATGATAATTGATATTCTACGTTATTCAATAAGTCAAAATTATTAATATATTTTTGTTTTAGAGGTTAAGAACGCCAAAATACCATATTACCCTAGTAGCATTTTTGGTACGGCAATTCGTTGGGCCTTTGTTTGCTGTTCGGTTGGTCAACTGTGGGTAATGGCACCCCTGATTGCACTGCTGCCCACAAAGCTAAAGTACCGTGGCCCACCGTTACAATTGGAGAAAGGGCCAACTGAAGCTTTTCCTTCGTTGGTCCTAGTCACCTTTTACAACGTAAAGCCAACTGCGAATTTTCCCACAATTTTCTCACATAGGGCCAACAAACATTCTATAACGTTGGGCTGACCGTTCATGGTAGGGCAACTGTGGTATTTAATCGTAGGCCTAACTTAACTTTTACTATATAAGGCCAACTGCAGTGCTCCTCATAAAGGGCCAAGGACACAGGGCCAACTAAGATTTACTCATAATAGGGCCAACATATTTTGCAAAGTAAGGCCTACATACACCATCTTTGTAGGGCTTACAAACTGACTGCACAGTATATCATCGAATTCATGAAAACATATGAATATCAGCACTATTAAAAAGTATCAAATGGCCAACCAAAATATCGTAATAAAACATTTAATTAAAAAATGTATTTATCAAATGTTTTTACCAATGTTGGTAAATACTCATGAACCCGATGACATGCCTACTATTCAGTCAGTTTGTAAATCCCACAATAATGTGTCTGAAGGTCTTACTTTGTAAAACAATGTTGGCGCTATAACGAGTAAATCCTCAGTTTGGCCCAGTGTCCTTGCCTTTTATGAGGAACACTGCAGTACGTCTCGTAGTCTTGGTGGGCATCTTGGTGAGGCTGTAAAAATAAAATACAATTGTTAATTTAACCATATTTTATTTGGCTGAAAAACCATGAATTGGCGTGATACAAAAAAAAACAAAACTTGAAAAAATTACAATCAGTAGGTTTTTAAAACATATTATAGCTGTGTAAGAGCACCACAAATTGTATGGAATTGACTCACTCCCCACACTCTTAAAATTGAAACTAGCATTTCTCATTGAGTAAATCTCGAACACTTAATAGTGCAAATTCATACTCACATAAGGTACACAGATAAATGAATGGTCATTACTATCAAAATTAGGCAACAATAAACATTTCTTGCTTAAATCGTTTGAATTGACAATAAAATTTTTTTCACCACTGACCATGTATATTCTCAATTTGCTACTTTCAATGGATTTTTTGTAAAAATCTTTTTGTTTAAAAAACTATTATAGTGTAAAGTATAAGCATCAGATTTTGCTTCTACTTCAATAGATTTAACCACAATAATATCTCCATTGAAAGTAACAAAACAAGAATCTCTTAAACAAGTACTTACAGCACAGTTAAATACAAAAAATCTTTTTATCCGTCCATCACGAATTATAGCCTTATTATTTTTCTTACTAATATTCACATTATTATCAAATTTCTTGTCAGCTGCTTTTTCACCCAGCCATTTAGCAATTTTCTCTAATGGCATATTATGCGAATGAAGTAACCTCTTTATTTTACACATGAAGTTTTCAAAAGGAAATGTTGAAAAGGAATCTAGTTCTCCAAAGTTATATACATCATACATTATTTTGATCAATATTATTACAACACAATCTGTATATTGCACAATGAAACATCAAAAAATGTTTATACAAACTACTCGATAATATATTTTTTAAAACAATGGGACCCAAATATAAAAGAAAAGCTCTAAATTCCGTTGCTTTCCAATACTTGAATAAACTTAAAGACCTAGGCTGTCTCGAAAATTCGGTGGGATAATGTACGTATAATTTTTAACCATTCTGATACTTTGGATATTTTAGAAGCATTTAATTTACATTTTTTTGGTCCATTACATATCCAACTTAGTATCATTTTTTTCATAACGCCTAAACAAACTAAACGCATAAAGTCTAATGGGACTTGCGTCACTAAACCTAAATCAAGTTCTGTAATTCAGTTTTAGATATGTGATGATCCTCATATTCTTGACTAAAAAATTTTGTGTCAGTTTGAAGGCACATGTAGTTCTTCTCTTT